TTACCCATTTGCTAACAGGTTTTTTTTTTGAGTAAGTTAATTAAAAAAAAATCTGTCCTTTGATCAGATAAATATAAGGGTTCTTTTAGAACAAGGGTTTCGAACTTGATTTCATTGAGGACTGCATCAGGGTTGTTTGACCTTAGGTGGCAGGGGTGGATGTGGCCAGGGTGGCCACCTTGACGTCACTTGGGTCAGGGGCACCTGTGGTGGTTTGAATGCTCTGTCAGTGAAAATGGGCTCCCGAGCTCAGTATTCCACTGGCATGGCCTCCTGCAATCCTCTGCCAGCGAAAACAGAGCTTGGGAGTGCTGCCCATGGCCCTTGTAAGCTCCATTTTTTGCTGGAATGGCTTCCTGCAACCCTCTGCCTGCGAAAATGGATCTCGGGAAGGCCGCACACAGCCATCCCGAGCTCAGTTTTTGCTGACAGAGGCACTGCGGGCCAGTTCTTTGCTATTTCCAGGGCCAAAACTAAACATCCCACAGGACGGGTCCGGCCACCAAGCCCTGAGTTTGACACCTCTGTTTTAGAACAACAATACAGAAAGTTCTTCTTCCCCTTTTCTTGGAAAGGAATGAAGCAACATTAGCAAAAAAAGGAAAAAAGAAGAGAAGAGAAGAGAAGAGAAGATGGGTGCTTAAACTTTCTTTTCTTCTAATACTGGAAGGGAGAATTTGAAGCTAATTCCAATTATTTCTAGACAGAATTATGTTTAAACAAAATTTTAAATGCAAATGAATGATTTTATTTTGATGAAGTCACCCATGCTATAAAATTAAGTCCTACTTATATCATGCTTCAAACCCAACCAAGTTTCTAGACTAAAAATTCTTGGAAGCTATTTGTGACCAGCCAAGTTATCCCAACAGTGATCAAATTCTTATTTTGACTTTCAGAGGAGCTTTTTTGGGAAGGTCACTGAAGCCCATTTGAGACACCAAAGGAGGGGGGGGGGAAACCACCCTATTACTGTTTACAGGTTTTAATTTTTTTTTTAAAGGTGAAAGATTACAGTAGTAATGTTGCCTTAAAATTCAATAACTGGGATTAATATGACAGTTTGTTTTCAGAGCTTTCCATCCAGAAAAAAATCAAAATTCTCTGATATCTTACATTAAAGATTTTGATATACAAAATTGAACTATTATAATCAAAGCCAACTATATAGCTAAAAAAGGAGAAATCAAATGTGTTAAACATGACTGCATAAACTGAATTATTTCTACTTATAAATTACTATTGTTGAGTAATCAGATTTTCTACCTTTTCAATTATTTGACTTGCCTTAATTTAACATCAATCCATTCTAATCTACTCATATTAAATCCACTCAAGTCCAAAACTGAAATTTTAAGGGTGATTGTAAATTATTATTATTATACAATTGTATCACAGCGGCCAGTTGTTTCGCCGAATTTATACTAGTCGGGCCCCACCCAGGGGCCTAGGATGTTGTAACGTATTTTCGTAATATGCGTGCAGNAGAATTTCCCAGCCAGCGAATGCTGGCTGGGGAATTCTGGGAGTTGAAGTCCGGACATCTTCAAGTTGCCAAGGTTGAGAAACACTGTTCTAAGCAGACAGACAGAAATTTATGATTTTGCCTTCAGCTTCCTAGTAGAGGGGAATGAGAGAACAATCCCAAAAGCATAAAACAGTCATTCCAAACGACAATTACTTTGAAATTAGTATGTTAATGTGATAAACTTTCAGTATAATTTATCACACCAAATAAAAGTCAACAATTCAATGCCCACAGTCACTTGTCAACCCACCAAAGAGACCGTGAGTTCAAATCCCGCTTTAACCATGGGTGAGTCGCTTTTCTCAGGCCAACCGACATCACAAAGTTGTTGTTGTGTGGAAATTAAGAGACAGAAGCTGTTTTGGATGCATTTGCTGCCTTGACTTATTTGTAAAAATAATAAAAGGGGGATACAAATGTAATACAGTAAAAGAAACAAATAAATTTGGCCTCCATCCAATTGCTGAGATCACATGACACCCAAGACTAGAAAAAAATGGATCCTTGTTGCCCAAAGCCAATATCAACAACTATGGTTAGTAGCTTTTTACTTTTTGCAGATAATAGTTTTATTAAAATGGATGGTTCACCTGATATTTACATCTTCAAAGCCAAATAAACAAATAAAATAAAATAACACCACAGCTACCATTGGGCCTTCTTTCAAACAAGCAGCACCCAGACTCCAGTTTCCTGCCCACTGTTCATTTCCCTCATGCATAAGGTGAAAGGTGTAAAGTTGCCAAGCCAGTTCTACAGGCTGAAGGAACTATGATCAGTTCATGTCATAACTGCATATTATTACTCCTTCGCTCCACAATCTCACAGGTATATCACATAACCAAGCAAAAGGGCATCATAAAACAGGTCTACAGACTGAAATGGAGACGATATCTAGGTGGCCCACAGATAGATCAGGTATGCTTGGGGGCTTCGTGTGAGCCAAGTATTAACACTCATGAAAAAACATCAATGTTAAATTGCCTCTGTATTTCTTAGGCTGAGACACTGAGGCCATACTAACTCATTTCCCTAGTCATGTGCTCTAAAAAAGAAGAAAAAATAGGCTCAAGTACCAAACCAACAAGTTTACAAAATTGCTCTTTGAGATCAAAGAGAAGTATACAAATAGGAACTTGAATCAGCAATTAACACGTCCACAGATGCCCTAGGAAACAATAGCTTTGCAATAAGGCAACTGAGCTGAATACGCTACAGAAAACTTGTAATACATGCCATTTTTAAAAGAAAATGGGAGTATTGTAAATTTTCAACTTCACCACAAAATTGGACGTGTCCAGCTGCTTGCACATACTTCACAATGCACCAGAGAAAGCTGCTCTCCATTGTTTACAGTATTCAGGAGGAGAAATTTGTATAAACTAAGATTATAAAGTCTACAGTTTTCTCAGAGGACTCTTCATTTCAATGATTGTGCCCAGGAGGTTAGGAGTATAGGGATATTCCAGGGCATGACATTGCTTTACATATAATTAATACCAAAGGTTTTTTTTTATCCATTACCAAAGGAATACGATATTTAAATGAGCTCAGGTGAGACTCTATTCATCAGGAAGACACATCTCACAGGAGAAAACCTGATGCTATGAGCAGGCTGCCTCTGTAGCCGTATAATCTTCTGCAGAGACCAGCAACAGCACTATAGAACAACACTATTTGATGCCCCAAATATTCCTGACATCTCCCCAACTCCTATGTTGCAGTAAACAACTTAATGTAGCAGACAGTTTTGCTTCACAATCAAAAGAACTGGGGAGTTGAAGCACCTGATCTGACCTGACTTCACAGAAATTTCGGCGAAATACTTCCCTATGATGTGTGCACAGAGAGCTTACTTACAAGCTCTACAGTGAAATATAAATGAATATCAACATCCATAGCAGTTCCAGTTGATAGCCAACAGAGAAAGGAATCTACAATTCAGCAACAGAACAGCTTTCCGCACTCACATGAGTCTTGGTTGTATTTCCTGGTAAGATTTATTCATAGTATGCAAATTGCTGACAATCAATGCACCTGGTATTGTGCGTGCATGTCTATATCCAATGTAGAGAGGGAGGGGTGAATTCATTGTAACCTACAAATCTGTAGTGCCAAAGAACCTACTCATTAATCCTCAACTACTGGAAGATTATTAACCATGACTTCCTCTGAAGCCTTGACTAGTTGGAAACTTCTAGACTCTCCCTCCCTCCTTCCCTTTCTCTCTCCCTCCCTCTCCCATAGACACTTGTTAGCAAGTAAGACAATGGCTATCTCTAAGTCAGAAACGCTTCAAGATGACCCAAAATGACTAATCTTTGCACCTTTCCCCCATCTAGATGTGTAAGAAAATTTTCTGTCAAATAGATTATACTGGCTGCTAAGCAGAAGCAAATGCAGGCCAAAAACTCTCTGATAACCAGGAGCTGGCACTGGTGACAGGTGTGAAATAAGGGAGTCCCATTCATAAAGTCATTTCTATCAGTGAAACCAACATCAACAAAATTATCTTTCAGAGTTACAAGAAGCAGGAAATGCTTTTTTATAGTGACTCAGCAGGTTTAACAAAAGTTAAAAAAATAGCAGGCAAGGAACTGACACTGTTGAGAATTTTGTTTTATTTGAGACAGGCCCTGGATGCATTTAAAAAGCTATAGAAATAATACTAACTAAAATCTGTCTTGGATCCTAAAAAATAACCTCTGAATTTAGTATTGGGCCCATACCAGAAAAGTTTTTTTATCAAGGACCAAGGAGGAAGTGATGTTAGCAATGAAAGCCAATCTTTAAATTGAATTATAGGTAAGATAAAGGTAAAGGTTCTCCTGCACATGAGTGCTAGTCATTCCCGACTCTAGGAGGCGCTGCTCATCTCTGTTTCAAAGCCGAAGAGCCAGGGCTGTCTGAAGATGTCTCCGTGGCCATGTGGCCGGCATGACTAAACGCCAAAGGCGCACGGAGCGCTGTTACCTTCCCACCAAATTGATCCCCATTTTTCTACTTGCATTTTTTACGTGCTTTCGAACTGCTAGGTTGGCAGAAGCTGGGACAAGTAATGGGAATTCACTTCGTTACGTGGCATTCAGGATTCAAACCACTGAACTGCCGACCTTTTGCTCGATAAGCTTAGCGTCTTAGCCACTGAGCCACCGCATCCCTCAAAAACTGAATTATATTATACTGATGTTTATTTGGATTGGCGGGCCCATGGGCCTAAAGCCTCGCTGAGATGATCCATATAAATGTAAGCATTCAACCACACGTAACTTATATGTTGAACTCAAAGTCCATAGTAACAGAATCCTGATGGATGGGTAACTAAATTTTGCCTGAAACTAAGATTAGAGCTTTTCTTGTGAGAATTCGAAATTTACATTGTACAGATGGCTTGTTCACATGCTTGTGCATGTACACAAAAGGCACAGATATCTAAGGGTCACAGAAAGACTAATGGTAAACATGAAAATACCTCCGCCATTTTCATCACTTCAAATCGGGACTGCTTCGATTTCTTTGGAAAACATGCACATCCACTGGAGTGTTTATACATCTGTATCATTCAACCCATAGTTCATGCAGAAAAGTCCAAAGAAGAATCAAAGGTCAGGTTCTAGATTGACATCTGTAGATCAATACTTGGATACCAATCAGTGTATGCAAGTTGGAAACATCAGAAAATCCAACAAATTACTTTCTGTTTTTCAAAATACCCACAGGCATAAAGAGACAAAAGCTTAAATATTAATCAAATATCATTTCAATAAAAGTACATACTTACCAGTGGGAAGTCAAAATCTATCTGATTTGCTAAGTTTAATATATAATCAATTCGAAACTGATTCTCTGCATTAGCTAGTTCAACTGGTGGTGCCAGGTTTCCCATCGCTGTTACTATTGTCTGTGGAGAAAATGATTTCAAGCTTGTTACCAGAATGCTACAGTTTAAAACAATTTAGTCAAAACAAGGAACAGCTGGTAGACTTACCTCTATAGCTTCTTTAATATTATTTTTAATATCTTGAATTTTCATTTTTTTCTCCCTGTAATCAAGAAACAAAAAAAATTAAGTATATAAGAATGTTCTTTTGTTCAGTGTGGCCTGGGAAAGTCTCCTTCCTTTCCATCTGCTTTTTATGTTAAATCAACATTTAAAATAAAAGAGATCATCTGTTGGGTTTAGTACCTCATGAAATATTCAGTTCACATAATGCTCACTTTAAAAAAAGGGAAAGGAAAATAACCACTATTTCTATTATTTAATCAATGTTTACAAGGCCAGGTGGTATTACTGAGAACAAGTTTAGTCTAATGGTTAGGGCACCAGGCTATAAACTAGGAGACTCTGAATTCTAGTCCCACCTTAGGCTGGAAAGCCAACTGGGTGACTTTGAGCCAATCACCAGGAGATGGTGAGTTCTAGTCCCATCTTAAGCATGAAAGCTGGCTGGGTGACTTCTGGCCAGTCACACACACACTCTCTCTCTCTGGTTTGTTTTTGTGGAAAAATAGGAGAAGGAAGGAGTATTGTTTGTTCAGCACTCTGAGTTATTTATAAATATAAAAGTGGTATAAAAATAAATAAATACAAAAGCTGATACCCTAAATTCCTTTCCCATCAAGTACTTTTAATGGATTTTGAACAAGATACTTAAGTGATGGCAGTCATAAAAATAAGATGCCACAAGAATACTTATGTCCCTATTTTCACCTGGTTACCATAGTAGTCCTATGGCAAGTTCAGTAAATAGACTCTTTTTATAGCAATGAATATATAATCTTAATTCGTATTTTGTAATATTCCCTAGGAGTGCTTTTTCCATGACAATTGCATGCTACATCTCCTACAGAGTGAGGTACGTCATGACTTTGACTAATAACTTACTTTCAAGTGCAATTTACTAACGGTTCAAGGACTTACAAAATACAATAAATGCCTTGCTTGACTGAAGTTCTCAGCATTAAAACCATTTGCTGACTTCAGCAATATGCAAAAATAAAATTCTATTCATAAGGATTGCTAGATTTTAAAACATTTTTCTCAATAACAAAAAAGAGCTATTAGAGAAGCCACAAGGCCAGAACANGGGCTGATGAGTTCCCAGCCCCACTTGAATTGTTGACTGTTGTGTAGTTTTAATTTGTCTCTGTATCTGTCTTGTTTTGTTAGTTTTTTGTATTGTCCCCTTTCCCATATGTCTGTTCGCCGCCCTGAGTCCCTCCGAGGAATAGGGCGGCATACAAGTCTAATAAATGGAATGACATGGAATGGAAATCTTCTCATCCACTTCCCTCCCATACAGTTGCTTACCTAAAATTCAAACCCACACGCATCAACTGCATTAAAGTCTCTATAAATTATTGAGGTGGCTTCATGGATGCAATTATATTGCATTTTTTGGCTATAGCCGTGCGGTTGAACCTATGGCACGTGCATCAGAGGTGGCACGCAGAGCCCTCTCTGTGGGCGTGGAAGCCGTTGCTCTAGCTCAGCCAGCTGGTTGTTGGTTTTCTGATATGTGCATGCACGCCGTGGCCAGCTGGTTGTCGGGTTTCCGGCGCTCTGGCACATGTGCGCCTTCCGGTTTGGGCAGACTGTGTCTAAAAGGTTCACCATCACTGGGATGTAGTATGGTTATTTTTTGGCTATAGTATAGTACATTTATCCATTTCCCAACCTAGCCAAGAGTTCTGGAGTTCTTTGGTGGTCTTTCATCCAAATACTAACCAGCTTAGATTTATTTATTTAGACGGCATGCAATGTCAGGGAAATCTACACATGCTAGACACAATGCAATCCTGACAGCCTAAATTGCTGGTGTGTTCTGTTCAGCACTTGCATGCCTATCCTTGATGCACCGCAGGCAGCAAATCAGCTTGCACCAGCTGACTAGGGACACTTGGGTTACTGATTCTTACTCCACCAATTTCGCCTCATGTGATGTTGCCTCGCTTCCAACCAAATCCAGCCTCGGCTTCCACTCTTCACACACACTAATGCAACTAGGGTTTTTCCCCCCCACCAAAGTGGTACCCATTTATCTACTCGCAATATTGCATGTTTTAAAACTGCTGGATGGGCAGGAGCGATGGGAGCTCACTGTCTCCCAGGCTCGATCCATTGGAATGCCGGCCATTTATAGTCAGCAGTTCCAGATAATTAAGCTACTGTTGGTCCCTACAAGCTTAGCTACTCAGCCCAGATATGACTAATTATGTGTTTATCGTGGCCTTCCCCAGGGAACTTAAGGTGACTTGCAGGTGGAGCTCCCTCCTTCAGAACCCAAATCTTTTGTGGTTAGACTCCTAAAGGTTCTTGGAATAGATGACATGCAAGTCAAATAAAAAATAATAATAAATCATTTCAATGTTATTTAATCACAATAACATGATTGCTCCTAACGTGACACTTTTATGAAACAGCAACACCGCCAAAATTGCAAATAGACAAGAGGAGGGGGGGGGTAAATCCCTTTCTTTCGTGGCTGTTGCAATTGTTTCAAGATTTATATTCCCTATCAAATACATCCCCAGAGGACTTAAAATATAATACCCCAAACAAAATAAACATACATTAAAATAAGCTGAAGACATCAGTTCTACCAAAGTAATAGCCAAGAGGGATAGAAAAAAAAGTTTCTCATTTATCACTAGAACATTATCTGAGGGCAACTCTGGAAAAACAGTGAAAGCCAAGGCAGTCCAATGGAAAAGGCCTCTGTCCAAGTTGCCAGATGCTTCACCTCTAATAAAAGGACCTCATGCCTTTGGCCTCTTACCATAAAGAGAGCCAGAATAACTGTTCATGAAGTACTGAAATGTTTTCTTTATGCACAGTTGCTCTTAGTAGACTAACTGTTCTGTTCCAAATTGCATTATTTTCCCGAAATACTCTCAGAGGCAGCATCGTATAAAAAGCATGACAATTCAATTCCATTTCTGAAAGTATAATATTCACTGCTGGTGCCAAGAGAAGCAAAAAAAGTTTTGTCAACAGTGACCAATTTCAATCTTCACTATAACTGTCTGAAGAAAAGTTCATCACATCCCTGTTCAGGAAACGTTCTGAACAAAATTCAGTGAACAAATCATAAACCATGAGTTACTAATGAAATAGTATCTGGACATAGCTGTGTATATCTAAAAAAAAAACTACAACAGCATTTTATTGGAATCATTACTGGCATTTTGAAGAACAATACTGTAACAGCCCTGGTAACGCAGTAATTAAACTATAGTACTGCGGGCAACTCTGCCCACATCATGGAGTTCAATCCTGATGGGGCTTAAGGTTGACTCAGCTTTCCAAGATTGGTAAAATGAGGACCCAGATTGTTGGGGACAATATGTTGACATTGTAAACTGCCCAGAGTGTGCTTTTTAAAGCATTAAGGGGCGGTATATTAGACTAAAAGCTATTGCTACAAAATATCTTGTGAAGCACCATCCATTCTTTCTAATTTCAAATGGTCCAAGCTACATACAAGTAATCGATTTACGACCATAATTCAGACCAAAATTTCTGTTGCTAAATGAGATAATTGTTTAATGAATCTTCTCCCATTTTATGAATTTTCTTGATACAGTTTTCAAGTGAATCACTGCAGTTGTTAAGTTAATAACATGGTTATTAAGTGAACATGGCTTCCCCATTGACTCTGCTTGTCAGAAAGTTGCAAAAGGTGATCCACGATCCCAGGAAACTGCAACCTGTCATAAATATGAGTCAGTTTGATCACATGACCTTGGAGTATGCTTCAGCGGTTGAATGAAAAACTGCTTAAGTCATTATTTTCAATGCCATTGTAACTTCGAACTGTCACTAAATTGCAAACTACCTGTTCTCAATATGTAAACCCACTGCTTCTCCTCCATAGCTCCTTCTGGAAACCACATCCTTATGAGTAAAGTTCATTTAAAAAAAAAGTTTGACAGAGTACCCCAGCTGTGACAACTAATTGTTCTACCTTGATTCCTGCAGAAATTCGAGGTCACTATATAATATTTCCACTTAATTTTCCAGTTAAGATATGATGGTTACAGTATGACGTATAAAAGGTTGCCTGAAGCATTCTACTAGCAAGGTTATGCCTCTTGAGCAATGTTCAAGGTAACTGTTTGACTTAATTTCATATTTATTACTGAATGCTCACTATCAAAACAGAAAAGGGGAAAAAAAACCCAGCAGGCTAAAACATTTAACCCCAGGCCATCCATCTTAATAGCTGGTCATTAATATTAAGAAAATTGCTAAAACTCATTGAGCAACTCACAATGCCTCAATAACTTACTGATTTTTAAATAGACATTTTTGTCAGGGTTCTTTTAAAAATTATTACACCAAACCTATCCAAGAATAAACAAAAACAGTGGGTGTTATTCAGCGTTTGCATCCATCTTGTTTCAAAATGATTTCAGGCAGCTTACAACATAAAAACATTAAAATTGTCAAATATAAAAACCCTCAGTAAAATCCAGTGGTGGGCTGCTGCGTGGTTGGGTAGGTTCGGGAAAACCTTTAGCTTTGATCGCTGGCTGGGCCCACCCACCCGCTATCCATTTATAGTTAACTTTCTGGCTCGTTCCCTCTGCCCTTACTGCCCAACTGAGTTTTGCGCTGCCCCTGCTTTACTCACCGGAGCTGCCTGAGTTGATTACCTACTTCTTTGAAGCTCCGTTTCATTCCCAAAGGGGCGCTTAGTGTGAGCGAAGCTGGTGCACACATGCGCTCACAACCAGCGAACCGCTTGTGAACGTTAAGTGCAGCCCACCTCTGCTAAAATCACAATACAAATCATGGCTAGCTCCAGTGGTGGGTTCCTACCGATTCGGCAGAACCGGTAGTGATTTGGCAGCCTGGGTCGCTGGAACTGGTAGTGACCCAGGCCTGCCACGCCCCTGAACCAGTTCCCCTGGCGGCGCCATCTTGTTTTTCAGTTCTGCGCATGCGCATCACAATTTTAATTGCACAATTTTTTTAAAAAGTTCTTAACATTTTGCGCATGCGCAGACCTATTTACGGGCAACTGCGCATGTGCCAAAC